AGAGCGCGCCGTCGTACTTCAGCTCTGAGGTTGACTTTGGCTTGCTAGAAGAGGGGAGAACAGTCATGCCCTGAGCAGGCGATCCGAGGGATTCACCACCAGGGCTTGAAGCTGTCTCCAATGTTCTCCTCTGTTGGCAGGGGTGCGGGTTGATGGGGGGTGATGATGACGTTGGTATGCGTTTGGTTTTTACATAGCCCCCGAATGGCTATAACTCCCGAGAACAACCCGGGTAAAGTGAATTGCCGCGTTTTGAGAGCTCTTGGGGTGTTTTTGTCCAACCCGAACGGTGCTCCCAGGTACCACCCCGGCCTTACTTCGGGCTAGCGAGAGCGAGATGCCAAGTCTGAAGCGCGTGAGACACAAGACACATTGGTCTTGCATCAGAAACAAATGGGAATCATGACCAACTGGGATCAACATAAACGAGCTCAAGTCAATGTAGCCAAGATGACATGCAGAGCCGAGATTTGAGCGCAAAGAGAATCGAGCTGCACATCAATCTGAACTGCATCAAGGCCAACGTCCGAGACAACCTTACAAGGCGGATGTCTCGAAATGTGACTAAATCTGCACCAAGGAATTTCGTACGTACAAAGTGTACACGTAGGGTAATCATCAAACCAGCCGGTCCCATACGCATGGAAAGGCGCGGAGAAGATCGCCTTGCGCTTCTTCCACCCGAACATGAAAGTTTCCCGCCTGGCAATAGCACATTTGGCACGTCTAACAGCCATAGAGCCAAGCACTTGTTTCAGTTGCGTCTTGTCCAGCTTGCCCCAGAATTCCAAAGGAATACATTCCATGAATCTGGTGCGAATAAGAGAGGCGGCACTCTGAACCTGAACGCCCAGCGCCGCATCAAGAGGAAAGCAAAGGTCATTCCCAAAGGGACAAACCTCGCGCGTACCCGGGAGCTGCACAGAGGCCTGCTTCCGCACAGAGCGCACATTGCGAAACAGAAAAACAAAATCATCCATCGTTCTCCAGTCAAGAATGCAATCGTAAAGTTCGTCCATTTTGACATGTAGCTTTTTAAGCGGAGCACCTTTGAGAAAGTGCTGCATATTCAGGTTAATAACCTTCTTCATGGCGGTGCTCATGGCATCATGCCGACAAAGTTTCCATCCAGCGGGCATCGTAAGAATGGCAGGCCAAAAGGGCAAGAGCACCTTCTCAGACTGAGTGTTCTGGAAGATAGCGAATTGCGGAAGGCACTGCCTAACAAGCCCGTTCCAGAGCATCCGAAGTTTCCATTGAGCCTCTTTGAGAGTACGACAGCGTCTGAGGAATGTCGCGCCCTTCCCATTGACAAGTAAAAAGCATATCAACGCCTCCAGCCAGGTTGGAGGCTCCGCATTCTGATCCCCATCGCTGGGGGGCGCAAAAAAGCACCATTCGATCATCCTCCTCAAGTGCGCAAGGTCGGTCATACTCCCACCCCAGTCCTCAGCGGACGCCTTTGTGGGAAAAGGGGAGTCAGGCAGCACAACAAACTGCCGACGCCAAGCAACCACAACGGTGTTAACAACCTGTCGGTGAGCAAAAACATCAATCGTATCCAGTGGAACACTCATCGAACTCTGCTGCGCGTCATCAGGAAGCTGATCAACCAAGTTATCCTGCTTGTGCCGTCTACCAATTTGTAAGATATCCCTTGGCGTGCTTCCCAGTCCCGAATGAGCACAGAGCAGTATCTTTGCAACAAGGGCCATTGCTTTTTGACATGATCACCCATGCAGTTTGTAGCAAACAGCATATGCCTAGAGCAGCTCTTCCAATCAGCCCAACTTGTCCAAACATGAGGCCAGTCATTTCTCAGATGCTGCCAGTGGGGACACTCCCAGAGAATATGAGAGACATCGCAAACATCTGCTCCACATTCCATACAAGAGGGTGTTGAGCAGAATTTCTTCTTTGCTTGAACATACGGAGTATTGACAGCGTCAACCATGATCCTCACAATAGCCTGCCTAAGCTCATGGGCAACAGGAAATTTCCTAACCTGATCAAGAGACGTCTTAATGCAAGCGTCTTGAACACCATCAAGTCTGTCAGTGTATGCATGTTGCAGATCAGGCAGAAGGTGCTTCCTGACAACATGATACCAAAACTTCATCCGCAAGAGGCGATTATTGCATTTACCAAATTGCCAAACCATTGCAGCGTCAGAGTTGGTCACACTTCCAGACCGAATGCCAACGTTCAACTCCAGCCATTCCAAGTCTTTTTGCAATTGAGTCAGAGGACCAATTCTTCTTTGACGAACATTGAGGCTATCCCAAGACTGGGCACACATCTCAATGATACCGGGGTGCTTGTAACAAAAACCATTCCAGAGCAGAAAGGACCGGAAAATAAGGGCAAATTCAATATCCAAGTGCTGCATCTCCTCCTGCACCACAAGCCTAGCGGAGTAAGTACCAAGACGATTACCAAATGCGGCCTGCCTGAAGGCAGTGCGAAGCAGTTGCATTTGTTTAACAGTAGGCCGGTGAAC